TGGACCGGGAATTGACAAAGTTATGAGTATTTTCAGGAATCAAAAGTATCTCTGAACACTGATGAGCCAGATTTCAGTGCTTGTTACAGGTTGTAATTGGATGATTGTGAAGGTTTATTGTTAGTACACTTATCAATATGGACTGTAAAAATACGGAAAAATATGGAGAGTGAAGCTCTCACCGCAGGGAACAAGATGCATATTTTTATTTATTTTTTGCCCTTCTCCTGGCCTCTCAATATTTTTGTGTATCAATAATTTAATTTTCTGCCCAGAAAATATTATATTTCTTGTAGTGTAAGACGAACAACGAGTTCTTAGTACAAACAAAAAACAAGATTCCCAAAGGAGAATTACTCAACTGATCAAATTCAATTCAAAACTAATGAAACAAGCAATTGACCAAGAGAACTATAGTTCCTTGTCCGAATGCATCCATAACCACAAATAGGTCATGACAACTGAACTAGGACCTCCAGAACCACAAGTTGAACATACCTTGTGCAGAAACAGACAGAGGGAACCACAGGTTAACCACTCCAGAAATATATATAAATACTAGAGTCGATTCACAAAAAAGATAAAAGACTCACCTTCAACACGATTAACTATCTTACAGAAAAATCTTTAGAAGCGTCCGACTTTTAATCAGAAGATATCCTTATCCAAAGTAAACATTTGATTAGTTAGAAGGAAAGGTCTGGTAAGCTAAAAAATCTTACTGTCTATCTCTTTTCTCCTCAACTACTCCTTCGAGTGTGTCCTTCCTGGGATAAAAGCTTTATTGAAAGTCATCTTACTACTCCTCTTCAAAGGATAGTAATACCTTGGTCACGCACCATTGGTTCTGCAATGTGAAGTTGACAGAATCCCTGTGTCTAGTAACACAGGCAGTTCTTGAGATTGATTTCTCTCGAATCTATTCCCGGTCCAGAATTTGACCAGTTCTGTTCTGTATTCCTACAGTGGGCCGTGGCTTCTATTTTTGATAAATCTCCAGATTATCAATTTGTGCACTAACTATAAGTACTATTTCCATCCCTGTTCCATAGGAGATAAATTAGTAAAGATCTTACGGACCCAGTAAGATCCTTGTCAGGACCAGAACGTGAGTAAACTAGACTATTCACCTTCAGTATTTGTAGCCACCCTGACAGTACGTCTTGGATAATGATTTGTAAGTTTTGCAATAATTGAAAACGAAGCTTAAGTTGGCTGTTACTGTGTTCACTGACAACTTGCTTCTCACTCAGAGCTTGGTTGAAATCACACCTGACTGCATCTAAGGTGTTAGTTCTTGGACTCTTGAATGTTGGAATGATATTCTGTGCACATGTATACCCAGAGTCCGCCAAAATGTATTTGTTTTCGCCAAAAATTTCGTCCGGATGCTGTGCAAGCTACACATACAAGATACAAGGCAAAAAATTCAACAAAAAATCCCCAGCTTTCAAAAAGAAAATTGCTCACTTGTGATGATGCAAAGATATGTTGGTTGTGTACACTGTCACACCACGCATGTAGATAATATATGATTTGACCATGATAATCTGATACTAACATCGTATTGAGAGCATATGTATGCTTACGGGCCCAGAAATCTTCTGGATCTTTTGTTGGTGCAAATGCCAGCGGAATTAAGGTGCCGTCAATGAATCCTACACAGTCCTCAAAGAAAGACCGATTGCCAATATGCCTCTTGATACAATTTCTTTCTTCTTGATTTGGCCAATAGACATATTGATTTTCCAATTTCAAAATCTCTTCAAAACAATGATGCGTAAAGTTGTGTACGTACCCTTCTAAAGCCACACAACTATAGTCAGTAACGTCTCAAGGACCAGGACTTCCAGTTACCAGTTAC